GCGTGTCGGAAGTGCCCGCGCGCCCTCTGGTGGTCCGGAGGGGAGGAGCGACACGCCGCGCAGTGATGCCTGGGAGTGCTCATCAAGCTGAACTCTGGCAGAGGAGGTCCAGGCCCAGCAGGGACCTTGTCCGAATAGTGACAATGTAATGAATATCACCTGCTCTCACACCAGCTCTGTGACACAGGCAAACATCAACGCACAACTGTAATAATACTAGTAATGGCCGCCATTTCTAACTAGTCTGCGAAACATCCTAAATCTTATTTGTGCCAAATCCTGGCATATACTTAATGCTCATGAAATCTTTATTAAATAAGTCAGCCCTACTACAGCCCTGTATCATAGTTAATGATACCACAGTTTATGCCTGTGAAGATTATACAAGGGAGAGCTGGGGTCCACTTTAGCCAGTCCAGCCTGTATGCTGAATGGCCCCATTGTGTTCTCCAACAGGAGAAGGCTGAGGTGTACAATCTGTGGCATGAACAGGTTCAAAGATATTTCACCATCAGCAGAACATCATTGTTCTAGAGTTTGCCCCAAAATGCTATATTTTTCTTCCGTCAGGCTCCACACCCTGAGATTTTATCCTAAGGATAATGAGGAACCACTAAGGGCTTTCAAGCAGTGGATGGATAGTACCACTTATGTGTATTCCTGGAATCATTCTGCCTGGCTGATTTGTGAAGAATAAATTGGAGCAGGGAGGAGGGGTCAGAGGCCATTGCAGAAATTCAGATAAGCAGTCACACTGGCTTGAAATAAGGGGCATTGGCATTAGAGAGGAGCAGGCAGATTTGAAAATATTTTAGGATGTAGACTCAACAAAAAATTGTGTCTGACTATAATCCCCTAGGCAGGACAGGACTAACCCTAGCCCTCCCCCATTACATCGAGCAGATCTGCCTTCCAGAGGTGAGCCGCTCATCTTCTGTGTAGCGGGGGGAAGGGGAGATGTTGCTGAGGCATGCAGCTAAAAAGCCACACCTCTCCTGTGTGGCCATGCCCTCGAAGCTCCACCCCTCTAGCCCAGATACCCAGCCCTCTGCCAAAAGGACCCCAAACCCCAATGATCCTTCAGCAGCCCCTGGAGCGAGACTGGCCCAACATCCCTTGAGAACTGCCTCAGGGGCTCCTTGAGGCCTGGACATGAGGGAGCCCCTGCAGGAGCAGTTCCTGTCGGAGGAGAATATGGCCACCTACTTCTCTCAGCTCAGCCTGCATAATGACCAACCTTACTGCAGTGCCCCCTTCCTCCCAGCAGCTCTGCCACACTCAAAAGCCCTTGCTCTGAGCTGCTTCTCTGGTACTACCCTGGAAACCTGATCCCTGAGGCCCTTCAGCTGCTGAGACTAGGGATTACCCCTGCCTCCCATTACCCTACAGCTGAGGAAATAATGGAGCTCTGAGTGTTGGCATGCAGTGCACCTGCCCACCCTCCTTCTCGCCCACAGCAGGGGAGAACAACACCCCATGAAGGGACCACCTGCTCTGCTTTTCCTCCAGACCAGGCCTTTGAGCACCTAGATCTTTTCCCAACAGAGGAAGACACTGAACCTGGGGTATGAGGGACAGTAGCATGGAAAGGGAGGCATTCTCCCCCATGCCCCAGACAGGGGTCCTCAAACTATGGCCCGCGGGCCACATGCAAATACAAATATTGTATTTGTTCCCGTTTTGTTTTTTTATTTCAGAATAAGATATGTGTGCAGTGTGCATAGGAATTTGTTCATAGTTTTTTTTTAAACTATAGTCCAGCCGCCCCACGGTCTGAGGGACAGTGAACTGGCCCCCTGTTTAAAAGTTTGAGGACCTGTGCCCCAGAAGAACTGAATAAAGTTTGCTGAGCAGAAAAAAAAAGTATACACACTTTAACAGCTGATAACTCAATTTTGAAAATGAAATGTATTTTAATAAACACTGCCTTTATAATTATTTAAAGTGTTTTTATACATTTTTGGGGACATCCTATATATATGATATCTACATACTATTTTTATGTATGATATGGACATATACTAGTATATTATATATGTTATATGATGACGTTATTGTCTATTTCAAAAGGTTGTTAAATTCTACTAGGTAACATATGTAGAATTTAAAGCTTGGTGCCTGCAATAGAGTAGCCCTCAACATCTACACTAATAAATGAGAAAGATGCAAATTGACCATATCTTCACAATGCCCACCAGCCGATCAGGAGTGAGTATGCAAATTAACCTAACAAAGATGGTGGGTTAATTTGCATATGCAGGCACCGAGCTGCCTGATGCAGGTGTTCCGCAACACCCCAGCTGCTCCGGGCCTCTGGGCAGCATGGGAAGGTGGAAAGGCGGCTCGGGGCCAGAATGAAGGCAGAAAGGCGGCTCTGGCTGGAGCAAAGGCGGTGCCAGCAGCCAGAGGAAGGAAGGCTCATTCTTGCACGAATCTTTGTGCATCGGGCCTCTAGTTATTATATAAAAGCCTAAGTGACTGGCCAACCAGCTGACAGATCAGTAGCTATGATGCACACTGACCACCAAGGGGCAGATACTCAACATAGGAGCTGCCCAAAAACAGCAACTTTGCAGAGTTCCCTTTTGCACTCCAGGGCCCCTTGGGGGTTGTCGGACTGCTGGTTTTGGCCCGATCCCCACAGGCCAGGACAAGGGACCCTATCAGTGCACGAATCTGTGCACCAGGCCTCTAGCTACTAATAAGGTAAAATTGGCCACATTCATCGTATTTGTCAAAACCCAGGGTATGCTGCAATACAAACAACCCCAATCTCAGTGCTTAACACAAACAAAAAGTTTCTTTCTCACTTATGCTACATGTCCAATGTGGGCCAGTGAGGGGATGTGCTCCACCTGCTTCCTCTAGGCTACTAAAGGAGCTTCAACTATCTTATCACTGTACTATAGGTGATCCTGATCTCTTTGGTTGCTGTTTAAGGGCAAGAGAGAGAGGGAGCAGGAAATTCACTGTTTCAGGGCAGAGGTAACATGTGTCTCCTTCTCAACAACCAGATCCAGTGTTCTGTGTCCCTGTGCACTGTAGGGGGGCTGGGAAAAATGGGCGTGCCCTTGACATTCAGTGAGTAGTAAATACCTCTGCCACAATCTCTGTACCCAGATGGTTTCAGCCTGTGGAGTCACCTCCCTCATGTGGGAGAAGGCAGGGAGTTGAAAAGGGTATAATTTTATGACTCATTTGATGCCCCCTTCATACATAGTCAATCACTAATATACTTCTCAGGAAATCATGTTGATATACAGAAGTCAGCACCCATATGACAACATGTACAACTCTTGGCAATTTACCTGGTTAATTCTAGTTGTTATTCCTTTCTAGAGTATTTTGTGTCAACTAAAAATAGACATTTGATAGATTATGCTTTTTAGCTGAACTAGTTTCTTTTTTGACAGCATTCAACAAAATCCTCAAGGATTTATTTTTGAGTTGCATTACAATGTAGCTGTCATAACTGTTTATCTCTATTTGGAATCAGATAAACAGGTATCTGTCTACTTTGAAAACTTCAGTTTGAAATCCCATAAACATCCAAATTTACAAATCAGATTTAATGGCTTCTTTGATTTCTGAATTTTTGTAGTGCAGCTCTAGAATATCTCTACTAAGAATGCAAAGGCCCAAAGCCAGGGAATTTTATTTAAAAATAATATTTTCTCCCAGTCTATGGCTTGCCTTCTTCAAAATTTAAAGAGAAAAGGAAAAAAATAAAAATAAAAAGAACTTAACCAAAAAAAATTAATGAACAAAAATAGGGAGTCTATAAAAAAAACCACAAAATTTTAAACATTTGAAAAGACAATTAACTTTACAATTAAAAGTGAAAATAAAAATATATTAAAAAGTGAAATAAAACAATAAAATTTATTTATTTTGCCTATTAGATTGGCAAGGATTAAAAAAACTTCCCAGTCTAGTTAGCAGGAGACATAAGTACTTTTTAAGTTGAATTTATCGGGAGTGACATTGGTTCACAAAACCATATAGGTTTCAAGAGTACAAATCAACAAAACATCATCTGCACACTGCCTTGTGTACCCATCTCCCCAAAGCAAGGTCTCTTTCAGTCCCCATTTATCCCCATTTTGTCCACTTCCACCCACCCCCACACACAATTCCCTCTAAAAGCATATAATTTTTACTCATCATAATCACTTGTATAGATAAATTCTTCAGAATTTTTTACAGAAATATAGAAATTTGCACCAAAAACATGTGCAAGGATGGTTATTGCACCCTTGTTTGTTAGAGTAAAAAAATTTAAAGACACCTAAATATAATGGAATATGATGCAAACATGAAAATCAGTATTATAGTTTTATGTGTACTTATATGGAAAGATATATAAAACAAAATTTTAATTGATAAAAACAAATCGCAAAATAATATGCAGAGCATTATTACATTTCATAAAGAAAGGTGTGCTATATACATAGGTAAAAATCTGGACCAATATTTACTATACTGTTTAATAAAAGTTCTCTCTGGGGTGTGGAATTAGATGGGCCTTCTAATTTCTAAGTAATTCATATATGTATGGTTTTAATTTTTTACAATGAACACAATTTGCTTTTTCTATAAAAACAGTTCAAAATATAAATTAATAAATCAAAAAATTATTAAAAGCTGATAATCATAGCAGCTAACATTTAATGATCATTTATTACATGGCAGGGACAGTTTTAAGTACTTTACATATATTAACTTATTGAATCATCACAACATTCTCTAGGGTATATTTAATTGAGTGTCCCATTTTTACAGATGAAGACATTGAGGAACAAAGAGTTTAAGTAACTTGCTCAAGGTCAAACAGTTACTGAGAGGTGGAGCCAAGATTTGAGCCCATGTCTGTCTGATTACATTACCCTAGCTCTTAGAACTATGCCATCTAGCTATTAAAGAAACATAAAAATATTTTAGGAAGGAAGAATATGTTAGAAGATCCTAGTTCATACCAATCCAGAACAAACTGGCTAACCATTGATTACTGCACAAATTCTGAGCACAGAGTTGTAATGATTGTATATCTTTATGGGTTTTATTGTATACCAGATATCTGATTGAGGCCTTTTACCTACATTATCCTTTTAAATATATGTTTGGAGAGATCTAGCTTCAAAATACATCTGCAAACACATCATGTTTCATCACCTTCACTATTAACTCCCTGTTCCAAAACAAATACCATCACCTTTTACCTACACTATTTCTACCACTTCTTTTTATTTTTTCTAAAATATATTTTTATTGATTTCAGAGATGAAGGGAGAGGGAGAGAAGCATCAGTAATGAGAGAGCATTATCAATCAGCTTCCCCCTTCATACCCCACACAGGGGATCTCCACACTGGGCATCCAGTCTGCAACCCAGGCATGTGCCCTGACCAGGAATTGAATCGCATCTCCTGGTTCACAGGTTGATGCTCAACTACTGAGCCATGCTGGTCGGGCTTCTTTTTAATTTTACCTTTATTGTTTAAAATATTACAGATGTCCCATTTTTTCCACTGACCCCCATCCCCACTCCTGTCCCTTCACTCCACTGTTTTCGGTGTCCATGGGTTATGCCTATCCTTGCTAATAAAAGAGTAATATGCAAATTAACTGTTACTCTGTCACAAAGATGGGGGCACCCATAGCCACAAGATGGCAGTGCCCAGTCCCCTCAGCCCCGCTGCTGAAGTGTCCAGGCCTGTTTGCCAGGCAGGTGGTGGGGGAGACAAGGGGGCCTGAGGGGTGGAGCCGGTGATTGGAGGGGGCAGGGGTGGAGCCAGTGATGGAGGGGGCTGGGAATCCCCTGCCCAGGCTAGAGGCTTCAGGCCTGGGCAGGGGTGGAGCCAGCAATGGGAGGGGGCAGGGGTGGAGCTGGCTCCAAGGGGAGCAGGGAGCAGGCCTAAGCTGTCAGTAGGACATCCCCTGAGGTCTCCCAGTATGTGAGAGGGGGCAGGCTGGGCTGAGGGATCCCTCAGTGCATGAATTTCATGCACCAAGCTCCTAGTCTATATATATAAAAGCCCAGCAACCAGAACACCAGAACAACCAGAATGACCAGAATGACCAGTTGCTATGATGCGCACTGAGCAGGCAGGGAGGCAGGCAGGCGAGCGGTTAGGAGCAAGTGGTCTTGGATTGAGAGAGGGATGTCCAACTGCCGGTTTAGGCCTGATTCCTGTGAGGATCGGGCCTAAACCAACAGTTAGACATCCCTTGAGGGGTCCTGGATTGCAAGAGGGCACAGGCAGGATTGAGGGACACCCACTCCCCCCATGCACAAATTTCGTGTACCAGGCCTCTAGTATGCATATAAGTTCTTTGGTTAACCTCTTCCCCCCACCACCTCACCCCTTCTCTCTGAGGATCCTCAGTCTATTGCATGTTTCCATGTCTCTGGA